GAAGGCAAAAGACTATATGGCAGAGGTGAGGAAGAAGGGAGCCTACAAAGAGATGGAGCTGGGATGCCCATCAGAGAACTCTGGTGGACCAGTTAGTGGTGCAATGGGGAAAGAAATGATTTGCATCATCACCTGGACCCTGGGAATTTTTGTCATCATCCTTTCTAAGATGAACTGTACCATAAGCTCCCCATGATATCATTGATATAACTTCGGGGTCACACTAGGAAAACCACAGAGAAACTTAAATGGTGGGGTGTTTTATTTCTTTAGATATGGCCTCAGAACAGGCCTAGGATAAGGATTTTACCACCCTGGAGGGAATTAGGTGCCAGATGGCCAATAGTGCAGAGAAAGCAGTGGGATTAAGAGCAGGCAAAATAATAGAATGTAAATAATAACAAATACGAATAATATATTAATAGTAATAAAACACATCAGGCTTACTAGCAAATTCTTTTGTCCATGGGAAGCTTAAAAGGGCAGAGCTTATACTCCTGGGCACTAGAGTTGCCTTCTGTGGGAGGAAGAGGTTCAATTGTCCCTGCTGGAGATGAGCCACAGTGATGGGCTTAGGGACCCCCAGTGTTGGACTATACCCCCAGGATGGATGGTAGGATCTGCATACATACCAGTGACTCTAATTCAGTGAAATAACATATCAAGTGTTGAGCACAATGCTGGTGCCCATTGGATGTTCAGTTAATATTAGCCTCTGTTATGCATTGAATTTTGTCCTCTCAAAAAGATATGTTGAAGTCATAACCCCTGATACCTCAGAATTGGATCTTATTCCGAAACAGTGTCATTGCAAATATAATTAGTTAAGATGAGGTTAAACAGGAGTAGGGTGGACCTTAACCCAATATGACTGGTCATATTATGTAAAGAGAACAGATACTGACCGCGAGGGGAAAACCTATGTGATGACAGAAGCAGAGGCTGAAATGCTACTTGGCAGTTAGGAAGGCCGAGGAATGCCAACGACCACAGAAGCTATGAGAAAGGCGAGGAAGGCTTCTCTTGGTTTAAGAAGCATGGTCTTGCCAATATCTTGATTTTGAACCTCTGGCCTCCAGAACTGTGACAATAGATTTCTGTTGTTTTCTGGTCCTTAGTTTGGGCTGCCCTAGTAAATGAATACAGCTACTTCCTTCTCTGTTTTGTCTTCCTGGCTCATCCCCAAAGGTAGATGTGCAGGTGAGATGTGAATATAAGGGAAAACTGAATTGTGTTTTCAGACAGTATGAGAGTTAACCACTTAAAGAAACCTTGGAGAAACAGAAAACTATAAATATTGATGAAGATGCAGGAAAATCGAAGCCTTATGTATTGGTGGGCATGTCAAATGATGGTGCAGTTGCTGTGAAAAACAGTACAGAGGTTCCTCAAAAAATTAAAAATAAATCCACATATGATTCAGCAATCCCACTTCTGGGTATATGTCCAAAATAATTCTAGCAGGATATTGAACAGATATTTGCATACTCATGTTCATTATAGCACTATTCATAATAGCCAACAGGTGAAAACAATCCAAATGTTCATCAGTGGATGAAAGAATAAATAAAATATGGTATACAAATACAAAGAAATATTACACAGCTTAAAAAAAAAAAAAGACATCCTGTCACCTGTCCCAATATGAAGGTATCTTGAGGACATGATGCTAAGCCATTAAGCCACTCACAAAAAAGATGAATACTGTATGATTCTACTTATATGAGGTATCACAAGTAGTCAAAGTCATAGAAACAGAAAGTAGAAAGGGGTTGCCAGGGGCTGGGGTTAAGGAGTGGGGTTAGTGTTTAATGGGCATAAAGTTTCAGTCAGATGAAAAAGTTCTAGGGATCTATTGCACAGCAATGTGAATATACTTAACAGTACTGAACTTAAAAATATTTAAGATAGTAAATTTAATGTTGTGTTTATAACCACAATTAAAAAATAAAATTTAAATTTAAGTATTTTATCCATTTTTAATTTATTCTTGTGTACGGTGTAAGTTGGTGGTCTAGTTTCATTTTTTTGTATGTACCTGTTCAATTTTCCCAACATCATTTATTGAAGAGACTGTCCTTACTTCAGTGTATGCTCTTACCTCCTTTGTCAACTATTAATTGAGTGTAATGGCTTGGGTTGATTTATGGGTTCTCTGTTCCGTTCCCTTGATTTATAAGCCTGTTCTTGTGCCAGTACCAGGCTGTTTTGATTATAATAACTTTGTAGTGTAATTTGATATTCATTATTGTGATCTCTCCTACTTTATTCTTCGTTCTCAAGATTGCTGCAGCTATTTGGAGTCTCTTTTGATTTCACATACATTTTTGAAATATTTGTTCTAGATCTGTGAAATATGTTGTTGGTATTTTAATAGGAATTACATTGAATTTATAGATTACTTTGGATAGTATAGGCATTTAAAAAAATATGTTTTTATTGATTTTTAGATAAAGATGAAGGGAGAGGGAGAGAGAGATAAAAAGATCAATGAGAGAGATAGAAACGTTGATTGGCTGCCTGCATGCCTCCCCCCCCACCCCCCACCCCCCACACACACTGGGGATAGAGCCTGCAACGTGGGCATATGCCCTGACTGGGAATCGAACTGGAGACCTCTCAGTGCCTGGGATAATGCTCAACCAACCGAGCTACACCAGCCAGGTGGGTTGTATGGACAGTTTAATGATATTAATTCTTCCAATCCATGAACATGGTATATGCCTCCACTTGTTTATATCTTCCTCTATTTCTTTTTTCAATGTCCTTTAGTTTTCAGAGTACAAGTCTCTTACCTCCTTGTCTAAGTTTACACAATGGAATCCTATGCAGCTGTTAAAAAAAGAAAAAAAGAGAAAAGGATCTCTTACCTTTTGAGATAGCATGGAGGGACCTTAAGAGTATTATGCTAAGCAAAATAAGCCAGTCAGAGAAAGACAAGTATCACATGATTTCACTTATATGTGGAATCTAATGAACAAAATAAACTGATGAACAAAATGGGTCCAGAGACATGAAAGTAGGGAACAGACTGATGAATCTCAGAGGGAGGTGATGGGGGTGGGCAGAGATTAACCAAAGAACTTATATGCATATATGCATAACCCATGGACACAGACAGTAGTGCTGTGAAGGCTGGGGTAGGGGGTGGGAGCGGGGTGGAGGGGGTCATTGGGGGGAGAAAAGAAGAACACCTGTAATACTTTCAACAATAAAGATAAATTAAAATAATAAATTTAAATTAAACACCCTTGGAGAAACTCCCATTTATATAAATATATATTTTAATCCTCACCTGAGGATATTTTTCTATTGATTTTTTTAGATAGAAGGAAAAGAGGGAGGGAAAGAAGGAGGGGGAGAGAGAGAAAGATATTGATGTGAGAGAGATGTATTGATTGTTTGCTTCCCACACAACCCCAAACAGGCAGGGATTGAACCTTCTTCAACCAAGGTATGTACCTTTGACTGGGAATTGAACTGGCAACTCTTTGGTCCTTGGGCAATTGCTCTAACCACTGAGCCAAACCAGCCAGGAAGAAACTCCCATTTAAAATGAGGAATTCTTTGATTATGTGACTAATTACCTTCTTGGTTTATCATTGAATTGCCGTATGTTAGATTTTCTTATAGTGATACTTGCTTGTAACTTGGGTATGGGAGACTCCATTGGACAGTTAGGTGTCCCTAAATCTGCTGACACTGGCCTACCACTCCCTTCCCCTGCATATGGCATAATAATGTGGAATTGGAGCTGTCTGCCCTATAAGAGGCTGAAGATATACAAGAGGGCTCCCATAACTGCTTCCAGAGGCAAAAGTTTTGGCAATTGAGGCCATGGGACAGGGCTGTCCCTTTCACGAAGCCCAGGTGTCAGCATTGTGATCTTGGTGCAGTTTTTACATATGGTATAATACAAATATATATTTAGTCTTTGTTTTTAGTTCCTGTCACAGAGCTTCTAAAACCCTTAAAATATCCTGGATGATAGTGGTGTCTTTTATTATTCACAAGCTAATGAGGTGACTCCTGACGGGGCCCCTCGATAGCTCTGAGATTGCGGCTGATTGCCAGATGAATCAACCATGTGTTTGAGGGTTAGTGCTTTCAGCCCCCTCCCCTCCACCTCTGGAAAAGGGGTGGGAGTGGGCAGGAGATTTTCAATCATTAAAGACTAATGATTCAATCAATCATGACCATGTAGTGAAACCTCCATAAAAACCCCAAATGACTGGGTTTGGAGGGCTTCTGGGCTGGTGAACACATGTTGATGCTAGGAGGGTGATGTACCAGTCAGGCATGGAAGCTTTGCATCACTCTTTCTCTGCATCTTTTCCCAAGCAATTCTTCCATTGGGCTATTCCCTAGCTGCATCTTTTATAATGAAACAGTAATTATAAATAAACTGTTTTTTTTTTTTTTTTGGTTGTTGTTCTGAGCTATTCTATCAAATTATCAAGCCTAGAGGGGTGTTGTGGGAATCCCTGATATAGCCAATTAGTCAGAAATACTGCAGGCCCAGACTTACAACTGGTGTCTGAATCAGAGACAGTCTTATGGGAACGAGGCTTTAACTTGGAGACCCAATTCTAATTCCAGGTAGATTATGTTAGAATTGAATTGAATTTTAGGAAGTCTAGCTGGTGTCAGAGAATTGGAGAGCTGGTTGGTGTCAGAAAACATCTCATACTGCATTTCTTCTCTTGGTTTGGAAAGAGTTTAGTTTGGGTTTCTTACTTCTTGAGTGATTCAACTCCAAGCAGAAGATGCCACCTCTGGAGACAGGCTGGAGACCTCAGCCCAGCCTAGTAGGCGGGAGGTGAATGGCAGCCAGAATGACCAAACAGGGGGCTAGGTTTGGGCTATTGTGTGTCACACTGATGCTGACCAGGCACGTGGACACACCAGGTGGAGCTTTTCCTGCCTGTCAGATGCCTCATTCCTGTCTGAGATGCTCAGAGAGAGACCATGAGCCCTGAAAAACACTGTATTGTTTTGTGATGTCACCTCTGGAATGTTCTGAGTGTTTTGGTGACCAACTTCTGCACAGGACCTACACCTGGCACCTAACATTGGTACGGTTTTCCTTGAGATATAAATAATAATCTTAGAACAGGTAGTAGGTATAGGTAGCTCTGCTCTGAAGCCTTTCAGAAGGCTTGGACACCAGCTACGATGCCTATCTTAATTTCTGTCCAGATGTTGATAAAACTTCTCATCAAATGTCATCTTCACATTTTTTCAAACTCAGTTTTTCATAATGTACACAATTTGCAAGAGGAGATAAATGAGTAGAAAGTCCTTTGTTTTACAGATGAGAAGCAATCATCTCACTGTCTCTTTTCCACAGCACTCGAGGCCACATTTTATAAGAAAAAGAGACACCAGATCTGAAAGCCTAGAAATTCCAGTCAATGTGGTTCTGCCTCAGGTATGGATAATCACAGAAAGATGTAAACTATCATTTTTAGCCAGAATATCTCTCCCCTTCCAAAACTCGAGCGAGATGTTATAGAATGAGCAGAGTAGTAAGGACCTTGATTTTAGTTGTGTGTCAACTGCCAACCAGCTGTGTGCGTGGGGAGGAGGGGCACTTAGCCACTGTGGGTCTCGAATGAAGAGGGTGGGTTAGGTGATGTGGTAAGACCTTCAGCTCTAACACATGACACTCTGAATTAAGCCAACCTTCTCAAAATTATGTTTTTTTGGTACTGGTTGTACCACCACTCTAGATTTCTGGAGGAGAATTAGAACTGGGGCTTGCAATTAAATGCACATAATTGAATCAATTAGAAGAAAACCTAGTACATACACCAAGGGGTACAGGGTCATGTGACAGGGTCAAGAGAATTGAGGCCTGTTGTTCATCAAAGACAGAGTGTAACAAGGGGTGGGAACAAGGGATTCAGAACAGAGGCCAATCAAAGGATGAAGTCTTGACAGGCTGGAGATTCTCAGTTCTCCTTCTCCTAAGCAGCTGTTTCCTTGGTGGGTTCTCCTGATTGGATTGTGTCTACTGCTGCTATGTCACAAAGGGGGCAACCTGACTTCTCTGGAGTCACCTAAGGCCCTGCTGGAAAACCATGGCGGTGCAGCCAGAGGGGCTGAAATGTAGAGTGGAAGAGTCCAGTGCGGAGGTAACTGTCTGAAAGCTCTGTCCAGGGATGTGTAGGGACAGTATTGATCTCCAGCGTTACATGTTTTCAGAAGAACAAGATTAGAAAGAAAACCTTCAGCATTCTTTCTATAGGTGGAGGTAGTTGTAACAATCTAGGCAAGTATGTTTAGCAGGAGGCAAAAATATAGGACCCAAAACATTCTGGCTATTTTTTTCACATTATCTTATAATTTTGTAATGAACAGCTACTTCTGTGTTTTAGCTCATGAAGCTTAGAACATAAGCTAACTTCCTCCTGCTCATTAGACAGGGTGGCTTTCCCACAGGGTTTCTACAACTGTGGGAAACTTGTTTGAGGTCTGATTCCTGCCCCATGAAATACACACGCAGTTCTGTTGGCCACTAATCTCAGGATCAGTGGTTCTCAACCTTCCTAATGCCCTTTAATACAGTTCCTCATGTTGTATGTGGGCGTATCTGTGTGTGGGCGGACCCGCCTGGAGACGGAGAGAGGAGCGGTGTCTCGGTTCCTAAGACCATCGGAAATATGAGTTTTCCGGTGGTCTTAGGCGACCCCTGTGAATGGGTCGTTCGACCCCCAAAGGGGTTGTGACCAACAGGTTGAGAACCGCTGCTCTAGAGTAGATGGTGGGTGTTTCTCCTTTGGTTCGCTCACAGCCCACATAAATCAATGTTTGTTTTGCTAATGGACAGACAGAGGGTGCCGACCTGAGAATAGGTTTGGGGAATGGGGGCCAGAATAGGGTTTGAAATAGTGATCATGTGTTAGAGAGATTGGAAAGTTTTCAACCCGGCATAACTCTCCCTACCTGCCTCCCAGAAACAACCAGCACAGAGGAGGAGCGAAAGGGAACAGAACTGGAGAGCGGTTCAAAGGTCAAGCTTGTTCTGGGGCTCTCGACTTCCTGTGCTGCAGGACTTGGTGCTGCTGCTCGAGTCTAGGCACTCATGGAGGGCATGGGATGGGAGGGCACCTGCTGCCTGGGCATGTGTGCCCCTCGTGGGCAGATGTGGCCTGAGGGGTACACTTGCTATGGGGACATAAGCCATGCACCAGATTTCAGACACCTGCTGGGATACTCTAGGCTGGTGCACTGGGGGAGGGATGTGGGCATCTCTAAGTTTAGGTTATCTGAAGTGTGTCACCACCAGGGCTGTGAGAGGGACCGATGAACTCACTGGACCTCCTCCAATGAATGGTGCATGGCTGGGGAAAAGGATTGATGCTGTTAACAAGGGGGGGGAGAACCATTGACTGAGCACTGATTTGATCATGTGTCGGGCAGTGGGCCATCAGATGTGAGGCAGAGATTGCATAGCTATGGGAACGGGGAACCCCAGGAACCCTACTAGTAATAGCAGGGTCTGAGGTTAGGGGCTTTAACCCAGGCTAATGCCCACTCTCTCCGCTACACCACAAGCCGGGCATATGCCACCTGGCTGGCCCAGGTCATGTCAGCCCTCTGCTTCTTCTCTTGCTTTTAGAAGAGATCGCTTCCTCTCCCGGCCTCACCATCTTAACTGTTGGCCCCTGAGCTCCCTGCATGTATCTGCCACATGCTGCTTTATTCTGGAACTGAGTCCATTTGTTTTGGAAAGGAATTGTGTCAGCAGCTCTGTGTCTCCAGAAAGTGCCTCTGGCCTTCCAGCTCCCGGTCTTGTCCGTGTTTGGGCTTCTCAATTACATTGCAAATGCCTGTGATTGACTATTTGTTATCACCCTTAGGTCTTTTCAGGCTTATTGATTCCCAGTTTTTCTTCCTCACATTAACTATTTGTGTTTTCTGATCTCTTTCCCTCCAGCACATTAACTTGCAAGCCATCAATGTTATTTCCTGCCCAAGCTGGCTGGCCTCCTGGTTCCTTTTGTACATAACGATTCAGTTCTCACAGGCATTCTGTTTCCCCAATTGATCACTGTCTGTGAATTTCACGAAGGTGCTGTTTACTGGTAGACCATTAATGAAGTATCTATATGGATCAAAATGAGCTCGCAAAGCACCCTCAAGTGCCCCCCCCGTTGCCTTTTCTCTTTCCCATATGTCTGGGCTTGTTCTTTGGAAGTTAGTGAGTCTGCTGCCAATACCCGTATCTCTGCCAATTTGAATGAACTGTTAGAAGGAAGATTTCTTGAGATTTTGTGTTAAACAATAAGCTGAAACCATCATACATGATGACATATTTATCTTTGCTGTTAATGTTATAATTCTATCAGAATCAGTTACATTCACCTGTGAATTGTCCTCTTACCTGTTTGCATTTATTAAAATCAACATTGACTTTATTATGGTATAGAGAGCCGAGCTAATTTAAAACTATGATCATAAGCTTCAGCCCTGTCACCTTGTCTGAAAATTAGTAGCATATCTGCTCTTCCTTCTAGCGTCCTGGGCCTCTCAGCCCAGGGAACATGGGAACAGGCCTAACAAGCACCTCAGATGGCTGAGTGTTCTTTGACTGTAACCCTCACTACTGTTGGCAAAGTAGGTGTTTAAAAAGCTTGGTCAACAGTCTTGGAATCTACCAGGCTTTGGACATCTCTTCTGGTTTGTGGTAGCCACACTTCTCCAAGAGTGGAGAGAACTTCAGTGTTAGGTAAACCTGGCTAGTCGCTGTCCAGTCCTGTCCCCATGCATGTCAGATGGGAGGCCACCAGTCCCAGGAACTCCACCCTGGAAGGCCACACCCAGAGCATCCTGTTCCTTAGAAACTCCATAGCATCAGTAAGAGGCTTTGATCTTATCACCTCCCCTTCACCCCAACTCCCTCTGCTCCCCCACCCTGGCCTCTCTTCCTTCATGCTCTCCACTTGTCAGGAGGCTGGTGAGCTGACAAAGGCACCCAGCATTTTCCTTCCAGGACCACCTGTATTTAAGAAGGAGATGACGGAGAGAGGGCCAGGCCTGACCTAAGGAAGAACGCCCATCCACAGGTGAGAGTCAGGCATCTCTGAGGGATATATTTGTGCCCAGGGCTCTTCCTGAATCCCCAGCATTAACCATCTGAGGTCACATCTGGGAGCACATTCTCCTGAGGGCAGAGTCTCTTGGTCACCTTCCTGACAACGGCCTGATGGGAAGGTATCATGAACCTCGTAGCCAATTGTATTTCTCTGTTACACCCACCCTCAGATCCCATTCTTCCATGAAGAACCCCACCTTTTCCTCTCCCTCCTACTGGATATGTCCATATGCAAGAGCGTTTCCCACAGACCAGGAGGAGACCATCTTTTCTTCCTGGGAAAGGGGCCGCGCTGCTCTGGGGACTCGGACTCGCTGCCACAGGCTCGGCTTCCCGGCTTAGGAGGAGTTTCAGGGGTGTTCTGGGGCTTTTTGTTGGCCAATATCATTTGTTAGGGATCAAGAACATCAAGGACAGATTAGTTTAGCTCATGAAACCAACCCAGTAAGACCACTAGTCAAGGTGACCTACTGAGAAGGAACTGGCTTCAAACACAGGCGAAGGAGGCCGGGGATTTGTACCCCACGTGTTTGCTGAGCTCATATGCTCACTTTTAGGAACGCTCTTCTGTCAAGAAATACATTCAGCATTTGCTGTAGGCCAGAAATCGGTATTTAAGCCCTATCAGTAGAATTGGCCATCTGCTCTTTATGACAGCTTGCCTACCACTTTCTTGGCCTCTCACAACAATCTCAGGAAATAGGCAGAGCAGCTACATTTAAGTTTATTTTAGAGGTGACATTTAGAGCAGCAAAGTGACTTTCTGAAGAGCACTCAAAGATATGGGACTTTTGAACCCAAAGTTACTGAGAATTTGAGGCCTCTGCACTCATTAGATTATAGGTTCAAGATGGTGATACAAACAACCAGCATGCCTGAGGCATTTGGACGCAGCGGGGAGCTTCTGTTAAGGGCTGCATAGGTGAATCTACAGTTGTGTGAAATTCATATGAGGAGACCCCCTCCACTGTTATAGCATTTAGATCATGCAAGAGCTCTGCAGTTTAAATACATGAATTAAATGAAGACATAGCTTTATCAAATATGCTAAGTATATGAAGACAAACAAAATCACCACTTTTGTAGGCCAAAATGGTACCATATACATATATATATATGTATTTTATCCTCACCCAAGGACATTTTTTTTTTTCCATTTTTTGTTCAGATAGAGCGGGAGAGAGAGAGAGAGGGAGAAACATCGATGTGAAAGGGACACATTGAGTGGCTGCCTCTCACACAACCCAACCAGGGCCGGGGACAAACTGCAACCGAGGCGAGGTACGTGCCCTTAGCGGGAACTGAACCCGGGTTTCTCTGGACCACAGGCCAATGCTCTAACCACTGAGCCAAACCGGCCAGGGCGAAAATGGTACAATATTAACACTTTCACATATTTCAACCTAATATCTCCACCTTAACTTTCAGTACATTTTGTTTGATTAGTTCATTAGCAAGGACTCATTATGCCTCCACTGTATATGAAATGTGCTGCTCTAATTTCCAGGACTAGGGATGTCAAAATAATAATAAGGGACAGGTTACTGTCTCAGAGAAATGCAGCTTGTTCATCTAGGGAGAAGATGGGACAGAACATAAGAGAACCACTACGAAGTAATGACATCCACAGATGCAAAGTAAAGCATCTGGGCATGTGAAGAGCTAGAACGAGCGTGCAGTTTGGAGTCACACATCCTGGTTTTAAACCCCGGCTTCCCCCCTTGTTGGCTATGTGATCTGAGGTAGAACCATGGTGGCTCTTTCTGGTAAGACATTACACGTGAATATGGACATCAGTTAGCATTGTCACATAAGAGTCATTCTGTAAGTGTTATTTTCTCTTCCTTGTTCTGTAAATCTTTCTCTAAGGAAATGCTAAGCAATTTCTCTTCTGAACCAAAGTACATCCTTGCATATCTGTAGCTCTCTATAAACAAAACAAAAAATATATTGCATTTTATTTTTCTATTTTTGAACTCTACAATAAACTGAAATAGGGCAGATGTTAGCAAGGTTGCTGTGGGTGGTTGTACAGGTTGTGCACTGTGACAACAGCTGTAAACAGCACCTTCTAGAGTTCGTCATTGTACAACCTGCACAAGCATATGGGGAGGCTCTGAGTCATGTTAGCACCCACACATTCTACACATGGAAATGAAGTGATTTAAAAGCTTATGCACGCATACAGAGCCAGGACTCTCTAGGCGTCATGACGTCCAGCCCCCAGGCCCCATACATTACTGACTGCATTAATGACTGTGGAACTTTGACCTCTCTCATTTGCACCAAGAAATAATTGGTGCTAATAACTAACTTTTAAAATTGACTGGAAGTTCCCTGAGGGCCGGGTCTGAGACCAGATGCTAAATTAATATTAGTTGATTCACTGACATAAATGTGGAAGAAGAAGAAATGGTACAAGAACACTAAGAGTGGGAATAGATTAGAGTGAGGAGTTTTCACAAGGCCAGGAAAGAGCTTTCATTTGAGGACTAAGTCCAGCTGGTCTGATTGCAACTGGGGAAAATACCATGGGAAAGAAAGAATTTGTTCTGGCATAATGTCTTCCCAAAGTTTAATCAGGACTCTTGGCATATCTGATATGCCTGTCTATTTAATATGGTCTCTCAGGAGCAGAAAAGGTACCACTTTACTTAGGCTCATCTATTCCAAATGAGGCTAAAGTGAAGATGTTTTTGTGTTCTAAGAGACTAGGCCACGAGTCAACACTGGATTTGATCTCTTTCTTGGTCCTGTCTGGGGATAGGAGGAAAGATATTAGGACTCGGTTGTAAGGGGAGAATTTGGCTTCCTGAGTAAGGAAGTAAAGACACCTATTAGTCCATCAACATTTCCTGGATCAGGAGTGGTGGGCATGGAACAGAGAAGGCAACAGGGTCTGGCTGGGAAGTGTTGACCATTTAAAGGAGGGGACAAGATATCAATTAGGTTGGTAAAAAAGGTCTGCTGGGCATAGTGTTAACCATTTACAAACATGGATCTGTGAAACCAGAGAAAGTTAGACTAAGAGGGCATTTGAAGGTAATACCACTGACCCTTCATTATATAGAAGTAGAAACCAAAGTCAGAAGGTGAGGGGATGTGACCAAGACCTGATGGCATGCATAAAGACAGGGACCCAGATACCTAAATTATCCATAGCTAGAGACCCAGCACTATATGTTGTTTTTATTTACTGCATTTCTGTTGAGGTGACAGTTGGAAATTCATTGAGTACCCAGTTCAGAATGTGAATATAGAGTAATGGCAGCTGAACAGGATGGTCGCAAGGCCGTTACGGATTCTCCGAACAGGTACGAAGCATTCTAGATTTCTCTTTGGATGTCCAACTGGACCAGGAAGACTCTCTCTCTGATATTTGCTGATATTAAGAGATCATTGTGAAATTTTAAAAGGATGATGATGGTATTGTGGTTTTGTTTAAAAGATACACATTGATGTATTTATGGATAAAATGAGACAGTATCTACACTTTGCTTTAAAACCACCTGACCCGTCCCGCAGGTCGAGCAACGAGGACTCTAGAGGGGGAGTGAGGATGAGGAGGGACAAGAGACAGGAGAAATGGAGACAAGACAGGGCTCTGATCAAGTCTCCTTTATTCTGGGGAGATCCACAGTATATATATGGCAAGAAGCAGAAAAACAAGAACATTTGTTGCCAAGCAATGTTTGTGGTGACCACCCCAAGCAATTTCAAGTAAATATCATGTAAATATCACAGGTGGAACAAAAGACAAACAGAGCATAACTGGCTGAGTAAATGGTTACTTAAAGGAATGCAGAAACATTGTATGCAGAGATGCAGAGATATCCTGCCTTGGGGTAGGAGATGGCAGAGCAGATGTTTGCAAAATGGATGCCATGCAAACAGTCTCCAACAACCACCCAGTGGCGAGGGAGAGCTGTGGAATTGGGTGATGATGGGATGTAGGGAACAATCATGGCCTCGACCTGATCATTGCTGAAGCTAGGTGACGGGTACATGAAATAATGTACCCCCATAATAATTATTAGATTATTCTCTTTCTCTTTTTATATATGTTTGAAATTTCCATAATAAAAAGGTAAAAAAAAAAACATGTCTTGACCCCCAAAGGACTGCAAATTCTTTGATAAATCCATGGCAATATAAGTTCAGGGAGCCAGAACTGGGTTTGTGACTTAGAAAGTGAACTGATGCTGGTTATTTAACTTATCTGAGTTTCAGTTTCTCCATCTGTAAAATGGGAATAATAATCATCATTAATTCAGTGTTGTGAGGTAATTCGGTAGGTAGAACACTCAGCACAGGGCCTAGCACAAAACTGAGGCTCAATATTGGTTTTCTTCTTCTTTTTCCCTCTCTAGATTGGGATACACACTGTTGACCAAAAACACATTTTCCACAATAATATCATCTAGATAGAGTAAGATGCTGCTGAGACGGAATCTTGTATTGGTTCTAGTTTGAAGATGGAGAGGATTTCTCCAGCTTTACTCCTTACTGACCTTGGCTAATCTTCCCAGAAATCTAGATCAAGTGACCTTAAATTTACAAGGACATGGTATATGCTAACCACGACGGTCTTCCTTCTGATCATAGGTTCAGCCACAACAACTGCTTTTCCAGTTGAGAAATATAAAAAGCACGAAGGCTGGATTTATTTAAAGCAAATAAAGTTCTGATTACAGAATGCCCTCACACCTTCGCTATCCAGAAGATTAAGTACATTCTCACAAAGTTAACAACGTGCTTATTGCAAAGTTAATGGCATAGAACTGTGCCTTCTATTTATCTAGCTCTCTGGGTCTTAAAGAATTCTAACCAACTTGATACACTGTACAAATTCTCTCTCTCTCCACACACACATAGTTTATGTGTAGAGATATACAAATACACACTATAAATATAGTATATAAACTGCCTTCTCTATCTAAAATTGTGAAAATGACCTAAGAAACAGGGAATTTATATTTGGAGAGCATTGCAGTGCACTTGGATGAAATACTTCTGGTGTATTGAGAAGTAAATACAATCTTATTTTTATTTACATTTATTGCTGCACTTGCTGCCTCTTCTCCAGGATGCATTCTACTTGTTCACCACTGTTTGAATACATCTCAGAATTCTTCCACTGGTGATGCCTACTTTTCCTAATAACAATACCTCACATTTCAATGGCACGTGGCAGTTTTAAAATCACTTTTACATTCCTTATCTCATTCAGTCCTCACAAAATGCTGTGTAGGGCACGTGTTATTATTTCCATTTTACAGGCACATTTTACTGACTTTCAGCGTTGGAAGGTGCCTAATTTAAGACCATGGAGTCTGACAACTTTTTTGTTACTCACGCAAATCCTGAGTCTTAGAAGGGGTGAGAGCTCTCTGGTTTCACATGCGCATCAGCGACAGAACCATAATTAGTACTGATGAATTTCGTATTTGTAAATTTGTCTAATTTTTTTTCACTAAAATTTGTTTGTAACCCCCAAATTAGTACTCATGTCACTTCTGGGGTCATTCACAGACACGCACAGAGTGATGAAACATTTGTCACCTGATGCAAACGTTCCCCGTTGAGGAGCCTTCTTGTTAAGCTCTTATACTGTCAAATAGTGTTAATTTCACAGTTTGTTTAATACCAGATTTTTCACATTTTCGTGCTTTTTGTTGGTGATTTCATTGTGCAAACGCCCTTGAGCACAGTGCGGAAGTGCTGTCTAGTCTTGCAAGTGCAAGAAGGCAGAGAAAACAGGTGTGTTGCAGTGCTGCTGTCAGTGTTAATGTACCAACAATACATATTAAATGAGGTGTCTTTCAACAGACACAAAAGGGCTAGGTATTGAATGGTTGATGAAAGTGTGACCAGAAGCTGGCAGGAACCTAACTTGTGTTTCCCCTGGTAGTCATGGTGCAGCATTCGCGAATTCAGTGTTCTCAGCAGTTTTGTAGAACAGAACTGCAGTGAGTAATGAGCATCAACTGCATTACCTTGTGAGGACCTCAAGAGGCCAGACTGTCAAATTGGGTTTATTGCGGGGTGTACTGGCCTCTTGTCAGCCAGCCTGGGGTGTGTCAGCTCCTTTACTAACCCTGGGCTCCCCTGTTCTCTCCCACAGAGGGGCACAGCCGAGCCCTTCCTGAGGCTCCACAACCTGTACCCCAGCCTGCGCTGTGCCAGGCAGGCCGCCCAACCCAGGCTGGGCCGCAGGGTGGTCAGCCAGCACTCTTACCCGCTGAATCGCTTCTCCTCTGTGCCCCTGGACCCCATGGAGCGCCCCACCTCCCAGGCGGACCTCGAGCTGGACTACAACCCTCCCCGCGTGCAGCTGAGCGACGAGATGTTTGTGTTCCAGGACGGGCGGTGGGTGAACGAGAACTGCCGCCTGCAGTCGCCCTACTTCTCGCCCTCGGCCTCCTTCCACCACAAGCTGCACCACAAGCGGCTGGCCAGGGAGTACCTGCTGCAGGACGAGAACAGGTGCTTGCGGGAGGAGAACCGGGCCCTGCGGGAGGAGAACAAGACCCTCCGCAAGGAGAACAAGATCCTGCAGGTCTTCTGGGAGGAGCGAAAGCTCTCCCCGGGCCGCGAGGACAGCAGGGCCCCGTCGCCGCTGCTGCGCAAAGACAGCGCGGCGCTGGAGGTGGGGAAGAAGGACACGGCCTTGCAGGTGCACCGCAGCAAGGAGAACAGCACCCTCCAGCTCCTCCGGGAGGAGAACCGAGCCCTGCAGCAGCTGCTGGAGCAGAGAACGGCCTACTGGGCCCCGGCAGAGGAAAAGACGGTCCCTGCGGAGGACAGCAATCCGGCCCCCTCGCCCCATGAGGAGCCGCACGGCCCCGGGCTGCTGACGGACCCGGGCACCGGCCTCTCCGCGTTCGAGGAGCCCAAGGGGCCGTCCAGCCCGCAGGAAGACTCCAAGACGCTCCGCGCCCTGCGCGAGATGGTCAGCAACCTGGCGGGGTCCGCCCGGGAGGAGGAGGGCAAGGCGGGCGCGGGCTTGGCGGACGGCAGCCAGCCCCTGGAGCTGCTGAGAGAGATGAACCAGGCGCTGCAGGCCCTGCGGGAGGAGAACCAGAGCCTGCAGGTCCTCCGCGAGGAAAACCGGCTCCTGCAGGAGGAGAACAGGGCGCTGCACGTGCTGCGCGAGGAGCACCGGCTCTTCCAGGAGGAGAACAAGGCCCTGTGGGAGAACAACAAGCTGAAGCTGCAGCAGAAGCTGGTCATCGACACGGTGACCGAGGTCACCGCCCGCATGGAGATGCTCATCGAGGAGCTCTACGCCTTCATGCCCGCCAAGAACAAGGACCCCAAGAAGCCCCCCAGGGTCTGAGGCCCCCGACACGCACAGAGGCACCGAGCTTGCGGCACAGACTATCCCACCAGAGAGTCTCCTGCCTTCCTTTTGCTGTCGTCGCCTTCACCCACCAGCTCGTGCCTGTTGAAGAGCAGAATGATTGGCCTTCCTAAACCCAGAGAAGTAATAAAAGCGAGGAGGCTGGGGCCAGTTAACACGGTGCTGCTCTGCCTTTTTCTTTCTTTTTAAAAATTTTAGAGCAGTTTTAGGTGTACTGCAAAATTGAGCAGAAGTTACAAAGATTTCTTTCTGCCCCACACATGCATATACTTCCTGTCCCACACATGGGTAGCTTCTCCCATTATTAACAGCCACAACCAGAGGGTACATTTGTTAAAATTGCTGAGCTTGCACTGGCACATCATTATCACCCCAATTCCAGAATTTACATTAGGGTTCACTCCTGGTGCTGTATATTCTATGAGTTTGGACAAATGTCAAGTGACATGTATTTACTTATGTATCACACAGAGTATTTTTACTGCTCTAAAAATCCTATGTACCCCACCTATTCATCCCTTCCTACTAACCACTAATCTTTTTAGTCTCCATAGTTGTGCCAGAAGGTCAGAGAGTTGGAATCATACAGTGTGTAGCCTTTTCAGAATTGGCACCTTTCACTTAGTAGTATGCATTTAAGATTCTCCCATATCTTTTAAAAAAATTTTATCTCTATTGTTGAAAGTATTACAGATGTTTTCTTTTTTCCCCCATTGACCTACTCCTTCCCACTCCTGTCCCCCTCCTGCCTTCCCCACACTACTGTGGCCATTGGTTATGCATGTATGCTAAGAAGTTCTTGAGTTTTTCTCTTCCCGCCCTCCTCCCTCTTCCCTCTGAGGTTTGTCAGTCTAACAACCAATTTGTACTTCTTAATCCCTTACCTATTTCACCCATCCTCTCAACCCCCTCTCATCTAACAACCAACAAAATGTTCTCTGTATCTATGAGTCTGTTTCTGTTCTGCTTGTACATGTTGTTTGTAGATTCAATTATTGATAGATATGTATTATTGCCATTTTATCGTTCATATTTTTGCTCTTCTTCTTCAAGAAGACCCTCCAACATTGCATATATTACTAGTTTGGTGGTGATGAACGCTAGCGTTTTCTTGTCTGAGAAACTCTTTATATGTGTATTGATTCTAAATGATAGCTTTGCAGGATAGAGTAATCTTGGTTGTAGGTCCTTGCTTTTCATCACTTTGTATATTTCTTGCCACTCCCTTCTGGCCTGCAAAATTTCTTTTGAGAAATTGGCTGACAGTCTTATGGAAGCTCTGCTGTAGGTAACTAACTGCTTTCCTCTTGCTGCTTTTAAGATTCTCTCTTTGTCTTTAACTTTTTGCATTTTGATGATGATGTGTTGGTGTGGGCCTCTTTGGCACCCCTGTGATGTGAATGTTGGTATGCTTAAAGTTGTCCCAGGGGCTCCTTACACTATCCTCATTTTTTTTTTTTTTTTTTTTTTTTTTTTGGCTGTTCTGATTGGGGTTTTTTTGCTTCCTTATATTCTAAATTGATGGTTTACTTCTTGGCTTTACCTACTCTACTATTGTCCCTATAAATTATCATTTATTTTTTATTTTTGTTACAGATGTTTCTCCTTTTCCCCCCATTGATACTATCCTTCCCTGTAAATTATTCTTTATTTCAGTTAGTGCATCCTTCATTTCAGACTGATCCTTTTTTATGTTGTTAATGTTTTCACTAAGTTCCTTGGAGTTCTCCTTAAGTTCTTTGAAGTTTTCACTACGTTCTTTGACATTCTCACTAAGTTCCTTGAACGTCCTTATAAGCATTGTTTTGACCTCTGCATCTGTTAGATTCCTTATTTCCATTTCGTTTAGATCTTTTCCTGGAGTTTTGTTCTTTTATTTGGGATATGTTTGTCTCCTCATTTTGGCTGCCTCCCTGTGTTTGTTTCTATGTATTCGGTAGAGTTGCTTTGTATCCTAGGCTTCCTAGGGTGGCTAATTGTAGTAGGTGTCCTGTAGGGTCCAATGGCATAGCCTCCCTGATCATTCCAGATGTGCCCTCAAGGTCATCCCTCATGTGGACTGCACACCCTTCTGTTGTAATTGAGTCTTGCTATTGGCATGCCAATGGGAGGGATTTACTCAGGCTGATCAGCTGCAAGGACTGGCTATGTCCACTAACCACTGACTACCTTGGATGATAAGCTGTGCAGGGGACTACCACACAGAGCAAGACTTACTTCATTCAGTAGGGCTCTGGTACCCACTGAGACCACTCCTTGAATGTGCTGCTTGTAGTTAGGTGGTGGTACTTCAATGTGGTCTGAAGCTGTCCACTGTGTGTGCTGGCTCTAGGGCAAGGTCAGCCACTGCTTGTGTTCCACCTAGGGCCACCAGTCATGAACTACAGTGTGATCTGCAGATGGTTGCTTCTTGTGCTGGGCGTGGAGGTGCCCAGGCAAAGCAAAGCTGTGAATCAAGGCTAGCTGCCTCTAGTGCCAGGCCTGGGGCCACATATAAGAGGTATAGGGCTTGCTGAGGCCAGATGCTGCTTGCTTGAGAGAATTTAGGAAAATCTGAAGCAGGAGCCAAGACAGGCCAATCCTTTGGTAAAGCCACTGGAAATAGCTTGGGTGGGCCCGAAAGTTGGATGGGGCAGGGCCTCAGGGAATCACCAGGGTGGAGTAAACAGAGTAAGCCATGTTGCTGGAGTCCCAGATATGATGGCTGTCTGCTGGCCCCATCGAGGAAGGGCTCACTAAAGGCCCAATGGCCTCCACCAGCACATCTGTTCAGGAGAAAGCTGCCCTACAGCTTTCGCCCTGATGCCAAACAACTCAGTTCTTCCCCATATGCCTCTGGTGCCTTTCAAGCTGCCTCCCCCGCGCTGGAGCCTGGAGAATGTGAGTCTGAGTAAGTCCATGCGCGGGCCCTTTAAGAACTGTCAGGGAGCCCTGGCCGGTTTGGCTCAGCGGTTAGAGCGTCGGCCTGCGGTCCAGAGAGACCCGGGTTCGGTTCCCGCTAAGGGCATATACTTCGGTTGCAGTTTGTCCCCAGCCCTGGGTGGTCGTGCAGGTGGCAGCCACTCGATGTGTCCCTTCACATCGATGTTTCTCTCTCTCTCTCTTCCTCTCTCTCCTTCCCGCTCTATCTGAACAAAAAATGGAAAAATGTCCTCGGGTGAGGATTAAAAAAAAAGAAAAGAACTGTCAGGGACTCCAACAGCCTCAGCCTCCCTTGGCCTCAATTCCCTCTGGTTTTCCAGCCAGAAGTTATTGGACTTCTCTTCCTGGCACTGGAACCCTGAGCTGGGTGCCTGGTGCGGGATGAGGACCCCTCACTCCTCACACCCAGCCGAGGTGTCCTCCTCATTTTTATCCGCCACACGTGGGTGAGGGACCAGCCCCTCCGCCCCTCCTACCAGTCTGGATGTGGCTGTAGGCCTTCCATTCAGCTCAGTTTCGGGCAGTTCTGAAGGATGGTTGTTCTGTAGTTTAGTTGTAATTTTGATGTGGTGGTGGGAGAAGGCGAGACTGCATTTACCTACCCGCAATCTGGACTGGAAGTTTTTCCTTCCATATCGTTTTATGGCTTGATAGCTCATTCTCTTTAGCCCTGAATAATATTCTATTGTCTGGATGTACCACAGCTTATTTATCCACTGGCCTACTGACATCCAAGTTGCTTCCAAGTTTCGGCAACTATGAATCTGGCTTTTTATTCTCTTTATTTCCAGTCTGTTCCTTCTGTTTTCCTCTTTCCTTTTCTCCCCTTTTTTCTCCTCCTCCTCTCTGCTTTCTCCTATCTTTCTTGCTTTCTCATTATCTTCATTTTTCAAGGTTATGGCATGGGAGACAAGGGCTTTTCAACTGTGCTGCTATTGCCTTTTGGGTTGGATAACTCCTTGTTGTGGGGGCTCTCCTGTGCATTGCAGGATGTTTATCAACATCTTTTTTCTTTGCTCACTAGATGCCAGTAACCACCAACCAACCCACAGCTATGACAACCAAACATGTCTCCAGACATTGCTAAATTTCTCCCAGTGGAGAACTCCTGCCCCCTACTCCCAACATTGCTCTAGGTTTCTTAAAGTACATTCCTTGAAGCACTAGTCCTTGAAATGCTCTGAGAAAATGAAGGTTTCCCTGGGCGGAAATGGGAGGAAATGCTGCTGCAACCCTCTCTGGCAGATTCATAATCATACTCCAACTTAAAGGGTCTGAGAAGTCCTGCAAGAAAGAAAGCTGTTTAGCTTTGGTGAACCCAGAATAGACTAACTTTATTTGATCGTGAAATCTCTTTTTGTTACCCTGCTGATCATCCAGTTTGGAAAGTGATGCTCTGTGCTCTCCTGACCCTAGGCTCACTTCCCTACCCCTGGATGCCCTCTGCTTACTCATGCTTCACACTTCCCAGAGGGATGTAAAATGTGGGTTGGGTGGCTGCTGGGCTCACTGGAGGGAGGTTTAGAGGTTCAAGATTTGTTGTCCTGGGGTTCGATTCCCACTTCAAAGTTGAAACTATTTTAGAACCAAAAAGTTGAAAGTACTCTCAGGTGCATAAAGAAGGTAGTTGGACAGAGGTTCCTAAACTTTGCTATATGGCAGAGTCACTTCAGGGTCTTTGAAAAATACTGATGCCTGGACTCCACCGCCAGACATTCTGATTTAATTGGCATTGGATACAACTGGATATTGGAGGGTTAAAAGCTTCTCAGGTGACTGCAACACGCAGCAAGTTGAGGAATCACTGTGGTGAGGTGAGGTAAGCCACATGATTCTCACTATAATGAATGCTCTGTTCCCTAGTAGTGGGTATAAGTGAGTAGACATGCGTGAGGAAAAAGAGTACCCATTTTGCTGATGGGAAAACGGATCATTGTTGCAGACATGAGTTTGGGATTGTAATGTCCTCACTGCTAATCCATTTCTCATGCTTGCTAGATTTCGGAGTCTTGAGCAAGCTCCAGAAGGTAAGCCAAAGGCAATACCTCACACCT